TATGTATATGTACATCAGGAACGGTATTTCCGAAAAATTATTCAGTCCAAATACATAAAACGAAATAAATGAAATTAAAGCTGTATTTTTTTTTAAAAACTCAACTGTCAAATGTCAAACTCAATCTCTGAGAAAATTGAGTATCCAAAATCCGACCTTTCATTTTCGGTCATAAAAGTGTATAAAAGTTTTGACAATTTTATAATATATGTGTACAAATTCGATTTTTGTCAAACAACAAAACGTAACGTACCGTGTCAGAGAAAAAAAATTATCTTGAATATCTTTTAAATCTTAATGTTGAAAAATCCATGTCTTATGTGTGCGGAATTGAATTCTTATTTTACCGCACAGGAGTGGAGATGTGTTAGCCCACCGATGATTGCTCGACAAGCAAGCTTACATGATTCTATCTGAATTATGCGCAGTGCCAACATCTCGTTATACCTAGTATTACAGTTTTCGCATAATTATTTGCCTTAAACTTTTTATTAGTTAATACAGTAATAAACAGTGTCTTTTATTTGCACCCTTAATTGTTGCCCTTTCATATAGCCTGCGAATTAGCAAGATTGAAATCGTACGTAATAATAATTATATACATTCCTGAACTTATTGTCATACGTGTTTTCAAAATCTGCGAAAAATACTCTGGTGAATATTTTCAGTAGCTTGAGTGACCTAGGGTCGGTAATGAAGAATGCGTCTTATCAGAAATCTAACGGAAAAATAGTTTTTAACAAATCATACCGAGTGATTGCATCTTATAATCTTACATGATTACTTACTACAATAATACGTGCATGCGCACACAAAAGATGTAAAATTCCAGATATAATTGATGCGTTTGACGGTGTACTTTGAATTGATAAAAACACACGTATAGATTTTTCAGAACTTTCATATTTAAAAAAAAATGGCCCTATTAAAAAATCGCTGGAAAAACTCTGAAAAAATTTACGCGTGAATTTTGATCAATTCTAAACCTTTTTTGCTGCATCTTTTTTTTTTAAAAGTTTATTATAGGTGAAAAAAATTCACGAACATTTTTGAAAACTTTTGAAAAAAGGAGGTACTTTAGATGTCCTAATTTTAAATTTTGACGAACTAATCCTCTTAACTTTTAGCATAAGCCTATATTATATACGTGAGATTATAACGGAAAAAAGTAACAATTTACCCTGTATTTCAACTCTAAATTGTCAACTTTTTAAAAAATTAAATAAATCGCAATTTTTACGGTAGATTCGAAAAGAAGAGCTAAAAATAAATAAGAATATTTAGTCTCATCTATTTTGAATAAATTTTACGAAAAAAGTACAGAAGTTGAAAAGTTTTTGATTTTTATGTTATATTTTTATGTATTGTTAACTTTTTTTCTAATCCTTTTTCCCTTTTTTCAAAATTCTGTTTCCAAGTTTTCAGGGTCACTCGTTTTATTCGATAATTACAGTTGTCAATCGTCGCTTCGTCGCCGAACGATCGAACGAGAATTGGATATAGTGCGCGAGCGATCCGCCATGCGCAGTTGTGTCTTCATATATATGACTTATCAGTTGCGCGAATAGAAATGCGAACTGTGCGTACGATTGTCGAGAGTAAGAGAGACGCCTAACGAGGAGGTGTAATTCTATCCGACTGCACGCGCGTAGCTGCAATTCAAATTTCCGCCGTTTGCGCTCGGGCTTGATTTTCTGCAAGCCTGCGACGTCTGTACGTTTGATAGTCCATCACTTCGTATCGTTCAATAACTCACTTGATGCATATTATATTGCAAGCTCGATCCTGCAAACCGACGTCGACCTTCCCCACAGTGATGTAGTTCGATCGGGCCTATGTTGCATAGGTAAACGTTCGTCGGTAATAGAATAAACGAACGTCCCCTGTTGACGTCGTCGTCTCGACTTACACCCATGATAATTGACAAGAAAAAGCGGATTCGATCGAGCTTCCTTCCGTTTCACCGTCTCAGCTTTGAATTGACTCTTTACCATTTATGAATGAGGGACAACAAGATTACGTCTCTGCGCGATCGAATGTACGGAAGACTCGATATGTCCGCGCAGAGATGTGCGACGATTGGGGTGCTAACCTCCCCGCTGATACATTCTCGAGCTTATGGACGAAATTACATCATGCAGCTAAAATTCGAATCCTTTAGATACATGATTTTTCAAATACCAGAGATACTTACAGCTGCTATGGAAATGAACGTTGCATTCGGAGTTGGGTCACGAAACGCGTTATTACGTCGATCTCCACTCTTGACTTTTGCAGCTGCAAATGAAATTTTCGCGATAAAACAATCGATATGAAAATTGACTACATATGCATGTGCCTAGTATGTGTAGTACGCCGCAACTCGCGTATGTATATAGCGCTTATATAGCAATGGTAGCAGTGAAAACATTTCAATCGCGTAATTTCGTACTCGCGCGCCTCGGCAAAATGTTAAATAGAGCCAAAATCGCCGCTGCATGCCGATAAACCGAAATAGCATCTCTCTCTCTCTCTCTCTCTCTCTTTCTCTTGCTTTGGCCCACCCACCCGCGCACACGAGCTTTAAATATGTCTGTGAGCTACGCTCACACATATGTGCACAGTAGATCTGTATATGGGACAATTTACGGATTTACTAATATTTCACTCATTCGCAATCATTTTTCTTCAAAGATCGCTTTCTGTAAGTTTGGCAAAAAAATATGAAACACTTATTAAAATAACTGCATTTGCTTCCAGACGCTTGCAGAAAATGCTTTATTTTGAGGGCTTACAGATGATGAGCTCTTGAGTAAAGTGAACACGAAAATTAAAAATGAATGATCTGAAATTCAAAAATCATGAAAAACAATATAAACCGCATCTTCGTACGAATTCGTGTTTGCTTACAATTTCAAATTGTTTCGAAAAATGGAAAAAGTTTTGTGGAATTCGTTAGAAGTTGCATTTCAATTATTTATACACAATTTAAGCAGCAAGTTTATAGAATATTAACGATTAAGCGGATTTCCCCATGTATGCATTTGGCTGTACTGTACAGTGTAGGAAAAGCAATGCAATCGATCTCGGTAAACTCGCGCGCGCGCGCACACACACACACACATACACTCGTATATACAACATGGCACAGCAGCAGCCGGCATATTTGCAATTCTCGCCGATATGCCTCGAAACATTTGCACTCGGTATTATATAGCTTATGCTAGTACGCAGCTAGGCACATAAGCTTCTCGCGCGCGCACGACACGCAGGCTCGGACTATTGCGAAATTCTGAGCTTCCGCACATCATACCCCGAATGGTGGCCCCGTGCGCAGCGAGCAAAAATCACCACGTGATAGATCCGCGGAAGTCGCCGGCCGAGCATCGCCCAAAACCCCACTGACTTCCTAGCAGAATTTCAGAAATGTCTGGCCAGAGGCCAGTTAAGTATGTATTTCCCGTAAACATCCGCCACCGCAGCGGCAGCATAGACACGATTGCGCTAAACGCAGACTCCGACGCGAAGGCCAAACGGACCTTTTCGAAGCAGTTGAAAAAGTCGTTTGTTGGAACGAATAATTTTGGTTAAAAATGTAGGGTTTTGACGCTAAAACTAAGAAAATCGTCTGAAAAATCTGAATAAAATAAAGAGAAAGGTATTTTCGTACGAAGCACATGTTATCAATGCGTCTAAGCGAATGAAGCTAATGGCACACAAATGCCTACGTATATCGCAGTACACAATTGTGCATGACTCTCGGATCACCACAGAAACTAACAACTCTAAAAGTTGTTAACATATTTTTGGCTTGATTAGGAACTTCCTTGACTCAATAAAGAACTTGTGCTCGCTTAGAAAACATTATCTTTTGTAACCTCTTATCTTACCCCGACGCACCCCGTCGGTTACACGAAAAAAAAAGCTCAGTAAACGGTACGAAAATGTTAGTTATAACAACAAAATTCGTTTTTGTTACCACAACCGAAATATTTTAGTTACGACAACTATTTTCCCTGTTGCTACAACAAAATGGACTTTTGTTGTCCTAACCGAGAAAATAGTTGTCGTAACTAAACAATTTTGGTTGTGGTAACAATAACGAATTTTGTTATTGCAACTATCATATTAAGTTACCACTACGTACTGCAGACTGAAAAAAAGGTATACGTAAGTTCAGCGAAAGTGGACAGTAAATCAGTAAAAAATATTTTGCTGTTGCAGCCAATATTTTTGTCGCCGCGGCTAAATAATTTTACCGTCCGAGCAAAAGGTTTTGTCGCAGCAGCGATCTATTTATCTATCTTTTGCTGTCTTAGATCGCTACTGTCGTACGGATAAACTCTTGCAGAAGTAACAAGAGTAATCGCGCGAACACCGAAGAGCACTGTCAACATTTTAAATTAAGTTCTAAATGCGAAATTTAGACTCGTTAACTCGTAACTCACCATCGCGCTATATAACACATGACACGCCGAACGCCTACACGAGATTGAGCAGTTGGCGGCTGCTTCGATGCACACAAATACACGCAAACACACACATACGAATCACGACTCATCACCACCATGCTGCAGCATACTCATGTATACGAATGCGGTGGGCACAGCGCAGCACCTCTGGCCGTCAGAGACGGCATTGTAACTTTTTAAACCGAGTTCTAAATTCTCTCGGCAACATCCGACGTTGAGCACGCTGAACGATTTTACACAAAATTGCACAACTGTTACAGATGCACAGCTCGTATTCACACGCGTTTGTACGAATGTGAATAAGCAAACGCATACTGGAACGCACACAACACAAACAAACAGATCGAACGACAATGCTACGCCGACGGTTACTCGAAGGGACTCACATACGCACACAAGAATCAACGCGCGAGCGAACAGTCAAGCAACCGGTCAGCACGACAGACGTGTTGGCCGGCTACTATTATCAAAATAATATTTATAAAAAAATTCAGTAGCCATTGAGACGCACGTCTCAATCACAGCTGCAAACAAGACGCTAAAAATTTTTCAGCTGATCGTTAACTGAAAATGCACGAAAAGTTTTATTTAATATTACGCGAAAACAGCCTACATAATTTTAACACATTTCGAGAATTATCCAATGAACTTTCATTTGATGCCTCAGCAAAAGATCTTTTTTTCCAAATTTCTTCTCGCACTGGTTGCAATTGTAATCTTTACGACCCTCGTGGACTGTCTTTTGATGTAAAAGCAAATTCCCTTTTTGTGTAAATTTCTTTTCGCCCTTGTCGCATGTGTAATCTTTCCGATCTTCATGAACTGCCTTTTGGTGAGTAAGTAAATTATATTTTTTTCCAAATTTCTTCTCGCACTGGTTGCAATTGTAATCTTTACGACCCTCATGGATTATCTTTTGGTGTAAAAGCAAATTCGATTTGTATCCAAATTTCAACTCACATTTGTTGCATGCGTAATCTTTGTAACCTTCGTGTACTAACTTTTGGTGGATGAGCAACTGACTTTTTTGTCCAAATTTCTTCCCACAATTATCACATAAGTAATCTTTGCGACCTTCATGGACTGTCTTTTGGTGCAAAAGCAAATTCGATTTAAGCCCAAATTTTTTTTCGCACATGTCACATGGGTAATCTTTGCGACCTTCGTGGACAGTTTTTTGATGTTTCATCAAAGTGGCTCGATCCCCGAATTTCTTTTCGCACCTGTCGCATGGGTAATCTTTGCGACCTTCGTGGACAGTTTTTTGATGTTGCATCAAAGTGGCTCGTTCCCCAAATTTCTTTTCGCACCTGTCGCATGCGTAATCTTTGCGACCTTCGTGGACAGTTTTTAGGTGTTTGTTCAAATTACTTCGATCTCCGAATTTTTTCTCGCAATGGTCACATGGGTAATCTTTGCGACCTTCATGAACTGATTTTTGGTGATTTAACAAATACCTTTTTTCCCACTCTAACCTAAAATACGCAACTTTGCCGCTAATTTTAGGCTCTCGTAGGAAAAAATAGTATCTCAAACTGGTGCAGATATGGTTTTTTAACAAAACTCGTTACAGCACTCGCCTTCGGCTCGTGCTATAATCCCTCGTTTTGCTAAAAAACCATATGTGCACCCGTTGAGAAATATACTATTGTCTTTAAATTTCTTCTCGCATTTGCCACATGCGTAATCTTTGCGACTTTCGTGTGCTGTCTTTTGGTGCCTCAACAAGTCTGATTTTTTCCCTAATTTCTTCCCGCAATAGTCACATGTGAAATCTTTGCGACTTCCTTGTATTGTCTTTTTGTGTCCTATTAACTTTGACGTTTGTCCCCTTTTCTTTTCGCACCGAGTGTGCACTGCTTTTATGTGCAAGAGCAACTTGTGTTTATTATCAAATCTCTTCGCGCACAATTCGCATAAGTAATTTTTGAAAACTTCGTGAAATATTCTTTTGTGCTTGAGTAAATTTGATTTTTTTTCAAATTTTCTCTCGCACTTGTTGCAAGAGTAATCTTCGCCATTTTTGTGAACTAATTTTTGGTGCATAAGCAAACTCGATTTTTTCACAAATTTCTTCTCACACTGGTCGCATGCAAAATCTTTGCGGCTTTTGTGTTCTGATAATTGATGTCTACACAAATGACTTCGGAACTCAAATTTTTTTCCACACTCGTCACATGTGAAAACTTTCAGATCATTATGAATTGTGTCTCTGTGTGTTGTCATGATGGATTCTAGTGCGTCCTGGCAAATATCACAAACGTGTTGTTGTTTATTCAAAACGACAATGTTACTTTTGTTTAAATTATTTTTCGAGACAATCTCTTCCGATTTCTACTCACTTTTATCCAATTCGATGCCTTAATTGAACAATGGATCTTTCTATTTGGTGCTACGGGTATTAAATGAGTAAAATGTATCTTTTGGTGTTCTGCCTTGTTTCATCAGGTAAGACAACATTCAAACTAATTTATCTTTACTATAAACATGATCGGTGTACCAGGAACGTGTAAAAATCGTTTATTATCATATTGTTTACAATTTAGGTACCCGCGGATAACGGGGTTTGACTGTATCTCGTTATACATTGTTCTTACAACATTTGAAACAATTTTTCGAGTTTTTCTAGCCATACAAGGTTATGAAAAAAATACAATGTTATCCAAAAGATGTTGTCCATCTTCAACCACGTATGAGGAAAACTTATCCGCGTATAACGAGAGATGCCTGTACTTCCAAATCAACCCTGACAGACAAAATTGATTAAATAGATCCTTGTGAACGTATCTAATAAACAATTTTATTATTCATTCCAAAATGTGTTGTGTTTATCCATTTTGGCGCCTAAATTAAACGATGAATCAGTCTATTTAGTGTCATGAAAATTGAATAAGTAAAATTTATCTTTTGGTATTATAATAACATTCAAGCTAATTTGTTGTTGTTACTATAAACGTGATCTTTCATATCGAGGATCTATGTCATAATCGTTTATGATTCTTTTATTTACAACTATAAGTTACCCGATTTATCTGTTCATACATTTTTCTCACAATATTAAAATTAGTTGAATATTCTAATTTGGCAACGGTTTCTTCGAGAAATTTTATTATCTCCCTAATACTAAGTACTCTCAAAAAACTCCAAGTAACATTGAGTTAATAGATCTTTATAGTTAAATATTTTGAAAAATTCGATTATTCAATGATTATTCAAAATGTGCCACCACTATTCGTTGTTACTTCTCATGCAATCTCACCGTAAAAGCCCTGATATGCGTTGTCATATAATACAAATCAATTTGACAAATTACTGAAATTTTGGTGAATTTTAGCTAATTGAATGAAAAGAGGATATCCTCTTAAAAACATGTCTTTTGAGTAGATAAAAAAATATTACTAAATGAAAAAAGCTTATAGTCTTGTATATGATATTTAATTTTTTTTCACCCCTGTAACTTCTTTGTTTTTTCCTTTGCTTTTTCATCGAATATTCCTTTCTTATTGGCTATATAAAAATTGTGTCAAAAAGAGGACGATCACAGAGGGAAAAATATCACTGTTATTAGGTTACGAAAAATTATAAATTTCTCCTTATCAATGACTTGAACCGAGATAGTGCCGTTACATTAACCCATTAACGCGCAAAAGTGCAATTTTGTGCATGAATTTTCCGTTGTAAAAAAATTATAAATAAAGTTAAAATATTTTCTTGAAAATCTATACCCAGGGGTTTTTGAGTATGCTCTTTCAGTATCCGGTGTTATTTTTGCGATAAATAAACATTATCATCGTTTATTTTGCCATTAAAAACAAAAAACGTGATTTTTTGACTCGAAATTTTTTTTCAAAGTCGATTTTTTACCTTGCCTTGCCTTCGGAGGGTTCCCATAACACCAGAAATCGTGCACTTTTTCTCTGAACCTTCGAAAAATGCGCTGCCGCGATTTTTATCTTGCCCCTATATTTCTAAAATGGCGAATTTATACCGAGCAGCGATATGAAAATTGCCTTATTTTTTATTTGTAAATTATTGACTTTATAAAAGAAAGTCATACAATGAAAAGTGTTCAAATTTGTTCAAAGAATACATGTGAATTTTTTTTAGAATTTTTTAATAATTTTTTCAAAATTTTTCAGATTTTTTTTGGAACATTTTGGATTTTTTCGACAGGCCGGGAAATGGTCGTATTTTGCAAAATTTTCAAAGTGGTCTGAAAAATTCTGAAAAAATTCACACGTATTCTCTAAACGATTTCAAATAAGTTTTTACACTCCAAATTGTACTTTTGAGTTCATATTTAGCGCATGTAAAATAGGTTCTGAGTAAAAAATGAGTGAATTTTTATACCGCTGCTCGGTATAAATTCGCCATTTTAGAAATATAGGGGCAAGATAAAAATCGCGGCAGCGCATTTTTTGAAGGTTCAGAGAAAAAGTGCACGATTTCTGGTGTTATGGGAACCCTCCGAAGGCAAGGCAAGGTAGAAAATCGACTTTGAAAAAAAATTTTGAGTCAAAAAATCACGTTTTTTGTTTTTAATGGCAAAATAAACGATGATAATGTTTATTTATCGCAAAAATAACACCGGATACTAAAAGAGCATACCCAAAAACCCCTGGGTATGGATTTTCAAGAAAATATTTTAACTTTATCCATAATTTTTTTACAACGGAAAATTCATGCACAAAATTGCACTTTTGCGCGTTAATGGGTTAAAATAATACATATTATGGTGCTAGTACTACTGATAGTATTATCTCTATACAAGTTAGTGATATGGAGAAATATGCACTTTTGCCAACTTACCTCACATGCCAACACACCCCGCTCTTCCCTAAAAAGTTTTTCACCGATCACCCACAAAAATTGTTTGTAAAAAAAAACATTTTTATGCTGCAAAAAAAAACAAAATGTTCAGCTTGAGAATTCATCGATCACGGAGGGGACACGATTTTCGTGTACAACTTATGTTATAGCGAAGCTGTAATTAAAATTTAAACATTCTGTGGGTGAAATTCGAGTACTTTGGTTCTGAAACATCACCTTCTCGGGATTGGAAAAGACAAAATGACTGTCAAACGAGGTAATTGAAATTATTTTCATAAAAGTTGACAACCCATTTATCATTGTTAAACAATTTTTGCAAACTTTTGAATGGGACCAATTTTACAAAAAACTCATTTATGATGTGTAGAATAAAGTCTATGTGTATAGGAATAATATTAGCTATTCACAAAAATAGTGAATAAGAAAAAAAAATTTTGATTTGAGAACAGGTCGCGAAGGAGATATTTATCATATTTATCCCACTGACAACTGAAATTGGCAGTAGTTCATGGCCAACTGATAGTGGCTACAGATAGAATTTAGTCAAATGAAAGGAACTACGGTGTTAGTTTTAATTATTTTCGCGTTTTCTACAGGCAGTGACACAACAAACGAAAACACGTAAAATAATAATGAATCATAAAATCACATAAGCAGCTAAAAAGTCATGATTATAAATGTAATCAAGCCTTTCTTGGAATTTAAAGAATTCACTCCTAAATATTCACAATGATCGTTGAAGCCTTGTATTAGATATCGTTGACACAAAAGTTGTATTAATCCATGAAGTCGCAAGGAAGAACGACTCGGCTACGCTCAACATTAATAATAACTGACCACTGAATAATACATTCGAGCGTCAGGGCTGAGTCGATGGAAGCATTTAAATCGGTAAGAAGCAATTGAAGCAGCGGCACAGCACAAGTCGCCTAGGGTCACCGGCAAAACCGAGTCGATTGAAAAGTGCCGCCACCTGGCGCCTCGCCGGCGCACAAAGTGGTGGACGACGCTCCGGCCATACGCACGAATACTGTATCGAATCTCGAGCGTGCATCACGTGTGCTGCTCTGCGCCTCATTGAGACAAGCGCACCTTTTGATAACCAATGCGCGTTATATCGGAACCGAAGCCTCACTTCGATCGCGCAAAAGTCAACCGACTCATTGAAAGGGTAAAAGTAAAAACGCACAACATTATCGATGTTGTATTTTCACGTCGAAACAGTTTATTCGTTGCAGATTTGAATTCTTTCAACGTTTTGGAACATCGTCGAACGTTGCATCAGGTCAATGATTTTCCGACGATTCCTCCACCCACGAGCGTAGTAAGGACTATAAGGGGACAGCAGCCATAAAAATGCCTCGGTGCGGTAAATCCGTAACGTATCGCGAACACACCTATGTACATCTAGGTATAATATTATACATAGGCATATAGGAGCTAAGGTCGAGAGCAGTTGTGCAGAAAACGGAGCTCGGCAATATATTCGCGAACAGTCGTTGAGCTGTGTGCGTTGATCATGCTGCCTGCCGCTCCTTTTGCGACCCACACACACACAGACACACACACAGACGGAGTCGCGAAACGCCGCAGCTCAGCGCACGCATTCGACGCCTGCTCTACTACACACCTATACACCCCTTACATATACACGCTACACACATTTTCGCTCTCTCTCTCTCGCTCCATCTTGCGTTATATTACCTGCTGGCACAGACTCGCAAGGGGGTAAGGGGAAATCGGCGAGGCAAAGGGGGATACTAGCAGCAAGTTTACCGAGCCCATGCTCCGCGAGAAGCGTCATCAACTTTCGCGTGCAGAATTGCCTGTAGGTGTGCGCGCGTGTGTGTACCGTGTAGATCGGCGGCGGCGACGGCGGCGTTGGAGGTGGTGGTGTCGGTGGCGGTGGCGGGAGAGAGACGACCGGGAAGAGGGGGCGGCGGCCGCGGGGGGGAAGGGCACCGTCGGACCAGACCGTGGCGTGCTGAGCGGCATCGCCGCGACTTATTCCGCTCCTCATGCGCAGTCGAGGCTGCGCGGTAGGCCCGTGCGTTGTCTAGATTCTTTGTGTCATTCTTGGCATACCAAAAACAGCGAGGCAGCAGGCGCGCATACACGTATCTATATCTATCTCTGTTTCCCTCTCGCCGATCGGCGCTCTCTCGCACAGCAGTTCTCGAGTTTGTTGCTACTACTACTATACACACGCACTCTTCTATCCATGTGTGTGTGAGAGTGTTTTCTATGTGTATGCGCGCGTGTGTGTATATACATAACGCGCCAAGCAGTGTGTGTCTCTGTATGTGCCCCCCGTAAGTGTATATGTGCAAGAGCCGTGCGTGTTTATAACGCCCGTTCACAAGTGTTTGTGCCACCGTGCGTATATACGTTTTATATACATGCATATCGAAGCATTATATACATAACAGATCAGGATAATTCCGAGTGTTTGGTCATATTCACTCGTAACTATATATGCGTAGACGTATATTCATTGTTAACACTACTGGCGTGCGTGCCGTGCGCGAGTGAGAGAGCCTCGAGTCTCTGACTGGCGTTTCGCTCTGGCTTTTTCGCGTTTTATCTATATTTATCGCGCGTGTGCCTCTGCGTCCGCAATAATATTCGGCCGATACACACACATACACACCTTGGCTTTCGATTCATCAGCTACTGCTGCTACTGCTTCTGTTGAGCGCAACGCCGTGTGTATATTGCACGCTCTCTCTCTCTCTATCTCGAAGTAAATCGAAGGAGAGCAACATTTATAAAGCCGCAGCTCCAAGGCATATTGGCGATTTTGCTGCTCTCGCGGTGTGAATCTTTCTCGATTTAAAAAAGTGTTTTGTGAATTATGCGTCACGATTGATCGTGAGAAAGAAGAAGAAAATTTAGTGCGAGTGGACTTGGACGCCGGTCGGAGTGTCGTTCTTTAATAATTGTCCGTACATAGAGTGACAGGTAAACTCGTGTTTCCCAGTGCTGGTGCCGTGTACATGCAGTTTATTGAAAGAGATTATCGTCGTGCATAAATATTATACGTTCGCCGATCGTCGAGGTACTCTTTCGCACTCCCTGTCTGTCTCTGTCTCTCTCTCTCTCTTGAGGCAACAGCTAGCAGCAACAGTGTGCCGTTGCAGTGCTCGCGCGAGATTACGCACACATATAATACACACAAACCCAAAAGGTGCTGCGACGTTCAAGTGTACAACGGACTGTGCGACGCGCTTCGATAGGCGTCGCTCGTCAACTCTTGCTATACCAAATCAGGTGAGTGATCTCTTTCACGATCTATTGACTAATTTTATTCATCTTTATCGTGGGGGGGGACTTATTATTAGTCGAAAAAGGAAAATGGAAAAGAAAGTTAAAGAGTTGGCCTCTCTCGACAGTCACAGGGAACGAGTACTACTGTACACAAATATAAACAAGCTCACGCCAAAGCAGCAGCAGTTCGGATTCACCTCTGTGCGCCCGCGCGACTCCCCGAGTTAAAAGTGTTGGTGCAGCAGCCGTGGCAGCGCGCAGTGCTGCCGCTGATGCTCGTTTATAGCTCTGTGTGTGTGCGAGTTTGCAACTGTACAATATAATACGTGAGCGAGCGAGAGCGAGAGACTTTGCGCGCAGACTTTCAATGCGCCAGAAAGAGACGAGCTGCATATACATGATCGCGTCGACGCCTTTAACTTATACTATACACATAGGCTGCCGAGCGCCGATATATATGTACACAGAGTATGTGTACCTTATACTGTATACACCTATGCATGCACGTACTCTTACATAGATACTGCTTTTACGTACATTACAGGTCCATCATTCATATATATAGTTATATGCAATGCATGTAATATTTATCGTACGGTTCGTTGAAACGCACAATGCAATAGTTAACGAGGTTAGGCTCGCCTCTCTCGCGCGAATTACCTTTTCGCATCCTCTTCTGCATTCGCAGGCAAAAATGAGGTTTATAATGCGAATTCGCACTCTCTTCGACGCTCGAGGCGGTTTCGCTTGCAGAAAAATCAAAGTCTTCGTTCGTTCGTTCGTCGTGCTCTATGTGTGTGAGTGCACAGCGTATATACATATTATGGTAGGGCTATACTCACACACAGAAGGTTGCACGCGAAAGCAATGCTAGTATAAGCGAGAGAAGAGGAGAGAAAAGCCAACGTCAGAGTGAAAGAGAAAGAAGGAAGGAGAGGGAGAGCGAGAGAGCGCCAAGGAACAGGTTGAAGCCTCTCGAGAACCCAAGCAACTCGCGAAGAGCCAGCCGAGAGTTGCTTTTATACCATCCATCCTCTCTCTCTCTTCTTCTCGTTTTCTCTGTGTGTGACTGTTGCCTTTGCTTCTTCGTCTCTTATATACCTATAGCTTTTCTATACTCACCTGCGTCCCTCTTTCTCTCCTTCTTTCGTCAATATATGCGTGAATATAAGGTACATTAGCTTTACCGTATTATTTAAACTCGAGGATAGCTATATCGGCGCATTTGAATTTAGTAATATCGATGTACTGTTATGTATGGGTCGCACTACCGCCGATGAATTTACCAATAAAACACCAAAACAATGAGTTAATTGCTCGCCGCCGTTTAACGAGAAAAACCATGCCGGCGAGGTAAGCCTGTGGACGCGCACGTAATTTCGTCAACTATTTAAATGTCTAATTTCGAGTGATCAACACGCCTACAACCGTTGCACTTGCCAGTTTGAATTTTTAATTTATAATTCTATCGTCGTGTTCCCCCGCCTCCATAAATCAATCTTTCGCGTAATTTTCAACGATGCTCCAGATACACACGTATCGATCTAGCGCAGCCTAATTTAATGTTAATTCAATTTCCATGATAATTGACGATTTGATTAAAGCGACACTTTTCCGCTGCAAAAGCAAAGCGCAGTAAAAACGTCGTTTATACAGCGTCGGCGGGGAAATAGCACGTAATACGTGTATAATATTTATTTGTCTTACTACTTCTTACGATATTTAACGAATTATCATGTCGCGAGCTCGTGTCTTTCTCTCTCTGTAGGTATGATTCATATTTTTTTTTTCTTTTTTGAAACCTGCCACAAGGTATGTAAATTTTTACGGTTCGCTCGTTCTATTCAGCAGACGTTTACACACGCACACACGCATGGAGAGTCTGTGGCGAGCATTTTAAAATCACCATTTAGATGAAAAGATTGAAGCAGGAACCGAAAAACACATCGAATATTCATAACGAGTGTCGTTCGCCTTCGTGGAAAATCGCCTCGATCAGTGGGGGGGCTTCGCGCGGCTGATACTTCATCTTCGTGAATAAGCAGGTGTAAACTTCAAAGTATTACGAGTTCGTCTCGTACATTACTTCATGTACATCGATCGATATCCATTATCATACGTGTAATGTATCGAGAAAGAAAGTTTGGCTTTTATCTGGGTGATGCAAGAACTGGAATAATCATATGCAATTACTTATGCATCATCTGTTCTCAATATAGGTGCGATGCTACTAAATGTACAATTTAGGTAGCTCATCCGTTATCTTCGTTTTCTTTATCTACTAATTTTGAATATTACCGAACTTGTCGCGTTAATTTTGACTACGACAATTAGCAAGACTAATCCTCGTGACTCGACGTGGTAAATCAATCGAGGGGACGATTGTGAAACGGAAAAATTGAATAACCAACAGATGTTAAGCTAGATTTGGCGTATGCGGGCTGATACGGGGGCTTACTGAAGCGAGATCGGCTCGACGCTGACCATCGTCTCACGATTTTTTTTTATCAAAAAACCGTGATGCCGTTGCATTTCCACCCTCGATCCTCTATCCCCGCGTGTTACATTAGTCGGCAGCGTCATCTTCGGTGTACGACGTTTTAATACACGAATAATACACGCACACTCACGAGCACAGTCAGCAAACGCAGACAATCGAAGCTTGACCCCCCACTCCGGGGCAATATTCGCGAGGCAGGCTCTCGAAGGCAAGCAGCGCCGTCTTTACCGGCAAAATATACTCCATAGGCGCAGCCGCACAGCTCCGATGTAGGGGCGAGCGTGTGTTTGTGCACATGCACGCGCCTACTTGTGCATAAACGAGTGTTGGTGTGTGTGTGTGTGTGTGCGTACAGCTCGAATCTCGAGAACGGAGTAGCGCGCGCAGGGACTCTACTACTACTATATGCTGCTCGTATAGCGCGAATGTCTGCCTGCTCGTGCGGCAGCAGCGCGCAAACTCGACGGGGCACTCGGCCGCACTTGGCAGCAGCAGCCGCGCACTGATCCTACACAACACACATACACAGACAAGCGCGCGACCGAACTAGACTCTCGGATCTCGGCAAGCAGCAGCAGCAGCAGCGAGTAAGCGAGCGAGTGAGCCAGCAACGGCAGAAAGCAGAGATACTACGGCAGATTGTCTGGCTGCTCCGCACGACGAGCGCGCGAAAAACAATCTCGCCTTTCCCGAGACCGTAAAGCTCTCGAATAATCTTACCAAACTATTCCAAAGCTCCCCCAAGTATATACTCGGTGCAGCGCAAGCTCGGACGAAAGCTCGAGACAGGCCTAGCTTATAAACGTTTTTTCGTCTCACCGAGAACTCGCAGTCTTGTCTCGACGAGAGTATACAACAACGCCGTGAGACAGGCTCTATTCAACTGTGTCCGTGAGAGACAACACGGCTAGTTTTCGATTTTCGATGAATTAAAAAGTGCGCGCGAGTGCTGCGATCGAACGGTGCTCCAAAGATTTTCGTCGTGTGCCGAGCCGGCGGCGAGCGATACACGGATACGCCGCCTCATAGGCGCGAGTACTACCAGTGCAGTGCAGTGCAGTTTGGCGCGCCGCGACGACATGTGCATGAGAGTAGTCGATCGACTCGCCGCTGCAGCGACTCTGACCGATTTTTTTCCCTAAACGAAATATATTCAAAATAAAACAGAGGGAGAATTATTTGCCATCGCGTAATAACTGGTATGTGTTTAATAAAAGAGTGTGTGCGCGCGCCCACAGCAGAGTGAAATAATCTTGCCGCGAGTCGACGTCGCGCTCGCGCGTGAATAAATAATAATATATACGCACACGCACACGTACGCATTAGTGGCTGCGAGCGCTGCGTGACTGGAGTTGCGTTGCGAGTTGGCTTGGTGTGTTGGTGCCGCACGGTGGTGTGCTCCGACTTTACATACGCACACAGGATAATTTTAAACGCGAGTGAATCGAGAGAGAGAGACTCGACTCCGAGCTCTAGATCGCCGAGTCGAGAACCAGCGAGTGTTCAACACCATTGTCATAAATTAAGTGTACATATTTTTTTCTCAAAGTGTTTGTTTTTGTGTTGCCAAAATTACTTCCTCGTTTGATATCGAAGCGAAGGAAAAAATTGCAAAAAAAGGATAACTCAGTGCGGCTTTTGCCGATAGAAAAGTAGTGAAAAAAGAAAGAAAAACGAAGCGATACTCTCGTTTTATCCTCCTTGATTTTTTATTTTTATTTATTTTTACCCCATCATCAATTTGTGTGTGAGTGTTGTTTATTTTTTTGTTGTTGTTGTTATTTTTTTTTTTTCGTTTTGTGAGACTGTGAGCCGATACATACATAGTCCAGTGCAAAGACGAACAAAGTGTTGCGTGGAGCGATTGAAGAATTGCAGAAGGAGCAACGGCAGCAGCAGAAGAGCCAGCGCAGCACATAGATTATAATAGCAAGGCGTGGAACGGCCGAGGCAGCAGCAGCAGCATCGTCTTGCAGCGGTAGCAGTAAGCAACAGCCGAAGATAGCCGCAGCAGCAACAGCAGCTTGTATGTGCATATAATAAGACGAAGAAAGAAGAGTAAAAAGAGAAGCCAACGGCTGCAGCAGCAGCAGCAGAAGAAGAAGCGACGGCAGAGAGACGTTGTAATATACGTATAGCCAGCGAACGTGCATATAGCGTATACCATATATAATATATCTATACTCTTGCCAGTAGAAAGAGTAAAGTACCAACGGAGGAACTGCTGCTGCGAGCTCGCGTCGCGGATGGATACCGTGCATCATTTCTGGAGTGAGTTTTGCCTGCGATTCCTTTTTTAGCTCAAGCGTATAGCCGCATGCACACATGCGTGTGTGTGTGCCCCGCGCACGGCTTATAAATGTATATGTGTGCAGCTAGCTCTCGCTGCAGCGCTGCATCGTGTAAAGTTGGACTTGAACACCGCGTGGGTTTATAATACTCGCACACATCTGCATCTCTCGCAGCCGCGAGCTTATTGCAGCTTTCGACCAATATAGTTTAA